CTCTTGGGATAAATCCATCAAGGATCAAAACAAATCCAAAAATCGAGTTAGTCAAACAAGCTGCTCAATCAATTAACAGAACTCGGTTTTTGGCCCTGTTTCTATCCTTGGATTTATCCCACGCATTAATTTCAATGCCATTTTTCACGCAATAAATCCAAGGATCGAAACCATGGATTGATCCTTGGATTTATTGCGTGAAAAATGGCATTGAAATTAATGCGTGGGATGAATCCAAGGATCGAAGCAGGGCCAAAAATCGAGTTCCGTTAATAAGCTGCTTCTTTGACGAACTCGATTTTTGGCCCTGCTTCGATCCTTGGATTCATCTTGAAAATCACGAAGATAATTTTGAAACAATGGTATCGTTTCATGAAATTTGCAGGTCATGCGCAATTTCGGTTTGAATGAGACAGAAATAAATTTCGTCGGGATTTTACAGCGAGCCATTTTTCACGCAATAAATCCAAGGGTCGAAACAGGGCAAAAAAAAATCGAGTTCCGTTAGTTAATTAAGCTGCTCTTTGACGAACTCGACGATTTATGGCTCTGTTTCGATCCTTGAATTTATCCTACGCAATAATTCTAATGCATTTTTTCATGCAATAAATCCAAGGATCGAAACAGGGCAAAAAATCGAGTTCCGTTAGTTGATTAAGCTGCTCTTTGACGAACTCAATTTTTGGATCCCTTTTGATCTTTGGATTCATCGCATGAAAAAATGCATCGAAATTGGCAGAATATGTTGAATATCGTCATTGAAGTGTTGCGAAATGATGGGGCTACATGCGAGTAAAATTTGTTTTTGAAATGGTTTAAACTCCGTTGGATCTATTTCAAGAAGTCTCAAAACTTATGAACCAACCCTTGTGCTCGCGTAGACATGGATGCAACGGCGACGGACGAGACGCGGAAATGGCAGGTTTATGCTCCAGGGCATGTACACAGGTTTTTGCTTGAGCACGATAATTTTCAGCTTGTGGCTGAAATCTGGCTTGCATAAAAAAACTGGGGCAGGAAAGTGTCTGCATCATGGCGAAGGTCTGAAAGGCTTTCTTCTTTGGCAGTACTGTGTACTATATATAGGGTTTAAGGAATGTGAGCGGAAAAGTTGCAGCGTGTTCGAAATGCTTACAAGTCAAGTTTGGACATCAGCAGGCGTGCTTACATTCGCGGTTGCGTTATTAAAGTTATTTTGTAAATCGGATGATTTACAAACAAAAGATAACAAAGTACTGTACCAAGAACATATTTATAGGACCACCTTGTTTAGTTCTTTTGGGGGAAAAGAGGGGAATTTTTCAAAAAGTGTGCATGCTGCCCGCGGGAAATTTGAAAAAGTGCTCACTCAGCGTCACGCCACGGATATTATAATTTAAAAAAATGCCAGGTGGATGTTTTTCGCATTTCAATGACAGGTCTGAACTAGGATATATATCTGTGAAAACATAAAATGTATCCTTGTAAGTCCTGTGCAAAAAATTCCTGACTTGAACGATTATAGCTCAATAACTGCCTTTTCGTTGACCTGCTTCGGTTGGACCAAACATTAAACTCTCGGATCATCCCAGAAATCCCCAATTTGTTTCTGGGATGAAATAAAAATAACACCTTATTCCGACTAAAGGATTAAAAAAGGCTCGTTTAACTTTTCTCATATTTTTCTTCGAATCGACTATTTATTTCCTCAGCCAAAAAACGCGAAAATAAGCTTCTGAAATCGAATACTGTATATTGAATACTCAATCAATTCTAAGGAGAAATTACGTCTGAAATACTTTCCAAATTAAAAAAATATTTTAGATATTTTCATGGCACGATTTAATTTTAATCGATCCTAATTATATAGATTTCCAACACTAATGCATATTACATGTGTATTCCTCAGAATTTCATGCACAGTAATTTCGATTTTCTCGTGCATCCTCGAACAGACACCTCGAAGCATTCATATAAGATTACTAATAAGGAGAGAATTAAAGAAGGGTACATCTTTTTCTTTCTTCGCGTTTAAAAATATTTCACCTATTTACTGTCCTAAAACTATAGAGACCCAAAAATAAAATTCGGCTGTCAATGCAAACATTCCATTTTTCTGCGATATTCATGCGTGACTTTCGACCTATGGAATCATGATTTTTGCATGCTTTTCTGAGATGTGGGTGTTCCTGAATACGCATATTAGCAACCCAGATTTCCCAGAGTGTTTCCACCATGAGCAAACGTGTTACAGTATTTTTAATAATTAAATTAATAATGAAAAAAGTTCTGGACAAATTATTTGGGCCTTCATGCGTTCTTTTTTCTTCTGGCGATTCCCGCAGAAACTGGAAAACTGAATACATTTACAATGTCTGAAGCGCAGAAGTAACTTGAATACATTGTATGATGGCACTCGAATTTTGACTCCATTCTTCATGATGGAAACCCAAAATTAGTCCCAGCAATACAAAACACTTTTTCAACGGAAATTCTGCAGAGCGAAAATTTTCACGGGGGAATACATGACTAAAATTACTACATTCTTCAACAAATAGGAATTTTCGGCCCAAAAAAGGCGTAAATTTTATTAAATTTTGAACTAAAACTGAATAATTTCAGAAAGATTCAAGAAGCAAAAGAAACAAATTCTTTGCTTCAAAATTAGGGAAATTCAGAAATTAATGAGCAGTATTTGTCAGGATTACCTTAATTTCACACTAAAAATAATGTATGAACAATTTTTAAAATTTCACAAATCATATATGCTTTATCATGGACTTTTGGTGGATGGCTGGGACCAATCAAATAAATTGCGATTTAATCTTACGGGAAAACGCCTTTCACGTGACAAAAACTCATTCAACTCATTTTGGAATATGTGGAAATGTTTTTATGCCCGGACCTACTTTAAATGTTTTTCGGTGTTCGAACCCCGGATTACGAAATAACCCCCGAGTATTTCTTCCGACAGGCCTCAAAGGAAAGTACCATTTCCTCGGAATTACATGCCATAGGAAGGTAATGAATGATGAAGTCATGAGTCTGCTGAGCAATAAATCCATCTCAGATAAACTTGTGGATGTAGGCGTAATCTCATGCAAGTAATTCCCGCTCGTTCGCCGCGATAATTTCGTATATCAGTGCGACTCCCACACACAATCCACCAGCAACATCAGAGTCTCTTATTATTCCGTAATGCATAGCCAATAGGGAAAGCTCATGAAAGCGTAAAATTACTCGGTAATTATACTAATGGTGTACATGTACTGCGTGGAGTGCACGAAAGTCTGGTTCCATTGCAGCATCTTGGGACGGTAGCGATAGTAAATTAGTCTGGCAGGAATCATAAAAGCGTAATCTTACTCGCATTGTCACAGTAATTAACACAGACGATGAAGACTATGACGATGCTTATTTCGTGTGTCATATGGCTCTCAGACAATTATTTGAAGAAGTTTGAGAAATGGTTGAGTTTTCATGCGGGATTTAAAACAAAAGTGAAAATATATGGATGAAACTCCAGTGAGCAACATTCATTGAATAATAGCATTGGAGGTTTTTATAATACAACATGTTCAATTCCCCACATATACTTTCCCTAAACTTCAGTCTTCTCAGCACTGGCTGTATTGGAGTGATATTTGGTCAAGCCTAATTATGATGTGCGCGATAAATGCAAAAATCCCGAATTTGCAATGGAAAAGGAACCTGCCATCCAAGAGTTAGCAGAAAATGGCCATCAAATTAGGACTCAAGCTTACTTCTTACATTTTTATTTATTATTTTCTGATCTTGGAATTTTCTGCAGTTGGACTTTTTGCATAAACAGCAGTGATCTCTAAAGAGAGATGCTTGTTAGCTTACCAACCTTAAAATTAAAGCCTCAAAATCCTTCAACATGTTTAAATGGGTGAAGACAGGGGTTCAGAGAATTTCAGCCTTGAGGATGCTTTTCCAAACAAGGAACGTTTTCCATGTACTGTAATTGAAAAAAAACCAGATTTGTTCCTGATTTGGCCCATCACAAACAGTCACACTTTTGGTTTAAAATACTCTAAGGCAGTTGAGAAAATCTATGAAAAAGTCCGACTTTGCCACCTGAGGGTTAAAATTTTAGGTTCGCTCACGAAGTAAGCAAAATTCAAGTTCATGTACCATATTAAATTCATTACCACGCACCCTTGAGTTAGATGCAAACCTGGTTTTCTGGCCCTAAAGTTCGGCCAAAATCCTATCATTAAGTGTGACGCTCACCACCTGTTGAGTGGGTAAAAAATAGCAAAGTTGAGAATAACATGAACCGTCATCAACATTTTGACTTGAATTGAACCAAAATTCAATAAAAATTGCTCCAGGGTTTCCATTGCAAATAATTCTTCATTGAAGTTCCCAAAAAGGATCTACAATATGATCCAATACCGCATTATAAGCACCCAAACTTATGAAGACATTTGAAAACTTATATACGAACCTATATGCCACGCATCCTCTTTTTCTCCACTTGCTTTTTAAAATAAGGCGGATATAGTAATCAAGTAAGCAAAATTTTCTTCTTTTACATAAATACTGTATCAACTTAACTTGAGTACCACACATTTTTTTTTCTCGAAAATTGCAACGACAAAAGGGGATGCAAGTTACATGGGGGTATGCAGTTACGAATTTTTTTCTTTAATTTTAGGTTCGCTTTATATTTAATTGCAACGGTAAATTTTGTACCAATTTCAACAAAATGACTATTCTAACGGAAATGATTAAAAATTAAATGAATTCATGATCAATTCATGTCCACATTCATATTTGGCTGTTTGCATTTGTAAAATATTGCCATTTCAGAAACACTAAAAATGGTATGCGCCTCTTACTCTGGGAAGATATCATTTTAAAAGGGAGAACAAATTGACTGAAAACCCCTGGAGCAGCAACTCTTTACTGGAGGTCGCGTGGGACTTTTGTAAAAACGTGTACGGTAATCATGCAGGATTGGGCAGAGGCGGTTATTATATGTGCAAGCTCACCGATGGTGATGGCGGCTTTGTGCTCGGACACCTGATACTCCGTGGGCACCGTGGCCGCCGGCTTGCCGTTCACAGTGCCCAACTGCAACGGCCGCGTCATCTGCTTGATGCTGCGCACGTGCTTGAGCGCGTAGTGGTACAGTCGGTAGTAGAGGATCACCATGACCACGCACGGCACGTAGAAGGAAACACACGACGACACGACGGCGTAGGTGGGCGTGAGGTCCAGTGCACAGTGCATGGCGGCGTCAGGCATTAGCGGGGCGTCGGGCCCGAGGGCCCGTGGATGAGGCGCCTCGTCCGCCAGCCGAGGCGGCTTGTGCAGGCCCAGCGAGATGGGCAGGAAGGACACGAGGCCGGCGACTACCCAGATGCACGCGATCAGCAGCGTCACTGTCTTCTTGCTCATCCATCGACTGTACCTGCAAATACGGAAGGTTGTCCCGAGAAAAAAGGGGGGGGGGGATAAATCAGATGGGATCAGCGAAAAAACTGTTCAAGCTGTTGGGTCCGGAAGCGACACAGCTCCAGCATCCGGCTGCAACTGGACCCAAAAACTTGTGGGATCTCAAGGCCAGTGAGCCTTGCAGAAATCCTGTTTTTGCAAGACTCACTGAGCCTCACTCAAGGACAAGAAGTGGTTACCACTTCTTGGATTTTACAAAAATTGGCCAATCCTGAGCCAGGAAGAAATCACCTGATTTCTTCCTGATCCAGTCCAAGCACCTGGGTATAAAAACCTTCATTCCTCTTTTAGATGAGAAGTCAGGCCTAGTGTTAAAGGGCCTTTTAACTTTAATAACCTCATTCATTTTTCTGAGCTAACCAACCAATTTTACAATTAACTCTGCCATCACAACCATTGAATTAACAGCCAATTGATGAACTGGGTAATGAGAATGAACTCCTCTGNCAGCCAATTGATGAACTGGGCAATGAGAATGAACTCCTCTGAAAAGAGTTTGAGTTCTTATTCAAAACTTGCATTCTGATGGCTGCACAATTCAATTCCTTTGTCTGGGATCCAATGGACCCATGACAGAAGCCACAAGAAATATAAAGTCAAGACCATATACGCAATGAGACACCCGCATGTGGACACCTTGACCTGCGGACAATTTAACATAGGGACACTTATTTTCCCATAAGAATTAATAAAAAAAAGGCCCAACATGAGGACACTAACTCAACATAGGGACATTTTGTGATAAAATTTCAAATAAGTTTCAGGCCAAATTGAAAGAAACAGATATTTTCCAGCTCAAAAATTGATGTAAGAAAAGTTCTTGGGCATTTCTCTCACCAATTTACCATCCACTTAGCTAATTTGAAAAAAATTACCTCCAGCATTGAGGGACCTCCTTTTTTCTTTTTCATTTGAATGTTATATTCACAGAGAATGCTGATTTATTCGAGACTGCACCTTCTTCGAGAAAATGAGGCATGTGAACTCAGCGAAATAAATTGACGTATACTTGAGGACTGCTATATAAAAAAAACATATATTTGTTACACAATGCTGCTGATCACACAAATGCAAAACCAAGCTGCGAAAAAAAAAATTAGCGAACACGAGCACCCGTTTACTGATTGACTGAGCCAGGACACTCACCTGTACGGATCTTCTATGTAAATATAGCGATCCAGAGAAATGGCGCAGAGGTTTATGATGGAAGCTGTGCTGCACATGACGTCCATGGCAATCCAGGTGTCGCAGAACTTCTCGCCGAAAATCCATCGATCCATGAGATCATTGATCGTCGCAAAAACCATCACGACGGATGCGACGAGCAAATCTGCTATTGCCAGGCTCACGACGAACAGGTTGCCCAGTTTTCGAAGGCTGTGGTCGGTGCACACAGCGATACAAACCAACAAATTCCCGCAAATCGAAGCCAGGATCATCGAACTTAAACCAAGCCCTGTTCCAAACATTTAAAAAATAAGACTTTAGAAATTTATCCAATGATCAATCAATCCAAACACAGCCCGATACATCAATATAAACCTCGATCATCTGGACTTCGATCAAGCGTCCATTCCATCATCCATATTCGGAAGCAATCGAACATGACTCAAAATGTTATAATTTTAATTTAAACCACTTCATTCTGATCTACTGAAATTTAGCGATGAAATTCTTTAAAATTGTCAAAATTTTTGTAAACATGATGAGGAACTTCAAAAATATCACAATAACCAAAGATTTCATGGCTTAAGAAAAAAACTGCTCTCATTCCCCGATACTCATTTTTGCAAGGAGATTTTTTTAATGCATTTGGAAAATGTATTGCTGATCAAACATTGCAGCATTGGCAAGATCACATAAAATCACTATTTAGTTAAATATACTGTATTTAAAATTTTTTTTTTGAAATTGTAGCCCATATTTTTTATGGGTTGCTCCAAAGGCCGGTTCATCTGGTGAACAATATAAGTTTTTTCTGGTTTTAAAAAATAGTTACAGCTAAAAATCCTGGGCAAATTTTCAGAAATCGTGTTCTTTAATTTTAGACAGGAAGATTTCTATGTTAATAATTCTTTTATAAAAATTGATGAGTCAAAACTTTGGAGTAGGGCATTTGAGAGAAAATCCTCTAGAATGGCAAAGAAAAAAGGAAAACCAGTCACAGCAAATTTTATCAGCAGTCGTCCAGAATTTAATCATGCTTATTTACTGAGGTTGATAAATTAATTCAATCTAATGATGAAGCTTAATTTGCAAAATTTCAGTCACATAATTTAAACTGCTGAGTCGTATTCGATTGTAAAAAAAATACATGATTTAATCCTTGCGACTTCTCGTTTCGAAGATGTGAAGCAAAACATTTTCGTTCATCCGATTACGCGAATCACGCTTTTCGATCTGATAATGGTCCTTGTTAATTTGAGACTATTCGAAGAAAAGTAAGGGAACTTCTTACGGAATTCAACAGCACGCGCATCAATTTCACAGTATGTTTCAATTGATTCATCGAACATCAAAGCGATTTTGGCCGGATGGATTACACGTAGAAATCCAACTGACGGCGCGATGTTCTTTGTTGTTCAATTGTAAGTTACTCGTCGTAGCTTTTTGTTTTTCAAAATAGCCGGACATTAATTTTTTATATCGTCTCGTAAAAGAACAGCCAATGAAAATCGCGTTACGTGCAAATCGTAAATTCGATTTTCGAGAGAGACGAGGCTTTGAGCAGTGATCACAAATGGTTTTCGAAGCTTTCCTTCGTTGAATATCCTCTCTCGAAAAAAATACAAGGGCTGGGTCAAAAGCTTTGTTATATATACTTGTAATTTCCTTGCTTGATTTCTGTATTATGGATAAACATGTTATCTTCATGGATGAATATATAATAGTTTCTTCAGAGTTGTGGGAATTTTTTTCGACCGAGGCTGAAATTAAGAGAGAACAGAAAGTTGATGATGCACTTAGAGCACTCATGGAAGAAACGGTCTCCTGTTGCATTGCTTGTTTTATAAATTTATGATCATTCTATAAAAGGGTTACAGAAATGCTTAAAATAGTCAAAAAACTTTCTCAGCGAAGATCTTCACAGATCTGGAAAATCTTGATTCAATAATGCGAAACAAAGATCGCCATATCGCACCTTTTAAGGTATTTTTGTTGACGTAGTTAAATGAGTAAAGAAGTTTATCTAAAACGTTCATCGGCGAGGTAGATGTTGCCCAAGCGAGTACAAAAATTGAAAAGAATATCTTCATCAGGCATATTTGCGTTGAGTATTGCATTTTGATTGATACAGAAGATTTTGGAGGACTCCGATTTAGAAAAATAGGTATACCGATAAATTGTATTTCGAGGTACTGCACTTGTTGAAAAATGCAATGTTTACAAAAATCCTCCAGGGCATCACACTTGACTAAAGCACCAGATCCAAACTTTATTCGTTCACACAGTGTTTTTCTATTTATTTATTCCTAGTAAATATTCAAAATTCGACCGAAAAAAAAACTTCGGCCGCTTCAGATTAAGATTTTCTTTCACTTTCGGTGTTCCGGAGCTTTTGGTTGTTTCCCAAGGATTTTTGTAAAATCACGTACTGTTTTGTCTTTCCAAGTGACATTTTCATTCGATTCAATGTGAATGCACCACTTTACAGCAATAAATTATGAAAAAATCCTAGCTGTACACTGGAAATGTGTCGTGTATCACATGATGCTATCATCATGTCCCCAAGTAGTACTGACGAAACTTTCAAAGCATCCCTCGCATTTCACTCACAGAAATGCACACGGGAATAAAGCATAATTCGTTTTGTTTCACTACACGACCCCGCACATTATTTCAATCTTCGAAACGGGTGGATCAAGGAAAATGTATTTACTGCTGGGACTCGGAAGAATAAAGAAACGGCAGTAATTGGATTACCTATCAGTGCCTTGGAAGCCGTTCCTGCGATGTCGAACTCGACGTCCTCGCCGGCACTCGAGCTGTTGTTGACGTAGTCGACGACAGTGAGTGACATGGTTGCGTCCGACGAGTATGACGACGACGGAGACAGCGACATGTTCATGTTGCCCCAGGGCATCGAATTGTTGGCCAAGAATGACGCGGACGATGACGACGACGACGAATCGACGCTGTTGTGCACGTGCAAGATCTCCTCCGCAATTCCCGGTGCTTCCGGAAACTGCATGATTCACGCTTTTATTATTATTTCCCCCACCCCTCTTTATATTCTCGTTTCGTTTCCTCGAATTTTGTTTAGGAGCAGCAATCCAATTGATTTCAGAGCGCCAGGAAATCCATATCGCTTCGATGCGCTGTGTATTTCTTCCCTTTGACCTTCTCAGCCTTGTTGCTGGCGTTCGGAGGATGCAGAAGTGTTTGAATTCATCAATTTCTGAGGGAGAAACATAAATTCATTTTGATTTGTGAGCTGGATTAAATTTTACGGCATCGATCGACATCGAACCCGGAAACCCTCGACGGGGTAGGAATCACGTTACATCGGGGTCTCAAGCAGAATTGATTATTTCATTTAAGCCGGATGAGAATCTTTTGCCGAAGACATAATTCATTTCCAAAGAAATATATTTTGCACCTTCTTTTGATTTTTCTTTACCCGTCGATGCGATAGAAAATTTAAAAGTGGCATTCAAAATTGAATTGTTGATGGAATCCGCGCTCATGAATAACAGCAATTCATCGAAGTTTATATTATTGCAATTGCTAAAGTGATGAAAAAAAAAAATTTCCGACGAGCAAAAGTAGGAAAGAGCGTAATTTTAAAAAGAAAATAGTACTGGTGATGTTTAGAGTAGGAAAAGTAGACTTTCGTAAACTACAGTATTTGACTTTAACTAATGTTGGGGGATTGAATCTTTATACTCGTAGTCGACGACAGTGAGTGACATGGTTGCGTCCGACGAGTATGACGACGACGGAGACAGCGACATGTTCATGTTGCCCCAGGGCATCGAATTGTTGGCCAAGAATGACGCGGACGATGACGACGAATCGACGCTGTTGTGCACTTGCAAGATCTCCTCCGCAATTCCCGGTGCTTCCGGAAACTGCATGATTCACGCTTTTATTATTATTTTCCCCACCCCTCTTTATATTCTCGTTTCGTTTCCTCGAATTTTGTTTGGGAGCAGCAATCCAATTGATTTCAGAGCGCCAGGAAATCCATATCGCTTCGATGCGCTGTGTATTTCTTCCCTTTGACCTTCTCAGCCTTAATGTTGCTGGTGTTCGGAGGATGCAGAAGTGTTTGGATTCATCAATTTCTGAGGGAGAAACATAAATTTATTTTGATTTGTGAGCTGGATTAAATTTTACGGCATCGATCGACATCGAACCCGGAAACCCTCGACGAGGAAGGAATCACGTTGCATCGGGGTCTCAGGCAGAATTCATTAGTTCATTTAAGCGGGATGAGAATCTTTTGCCGAAGACATCATTCATTTCCAAAGAAATATATTTTGCACCTTCTTTTGATTTTGCTTTACCCGTCGATGCGATAGAAAATTTAAAAGGGGCATTCAAAATTGAATTGTTGATGGAATCCGCGCTCATGAATAACAGCAACTCATCGAAGTTTACATTATCGCAATTGCTAAACTGATGGAAAAAAACAATGTCCGACGAGCAAAAGTAGGAAAGAGCGTAATTTTACAAAGAAAATAGTACTGGTGATGTTTAGAGTAGGAAAAATAGACTGCCGTAAACTTCAGTATTTGACTTTAACTAATGTTGGGGGATTGAATCTTTATACCATGACACACGAGAATGTATGTTTGCAATGCAAGAAGGTTTTGAGCATTAAACACTGAAATTAATGCCAATAAAGATAAGGTGGAATGGCTAAAATGAGGGGGACATTCTTGGCATCATCAAGATGCAAGTAACATTTTGTGACAGTGATCATTATAAACATGTGAACCTCAATAACTCAAACCTCCCAAAGTTGAATAGCCCTCAAGTGGATTTTTTTTTAGGTCCCCATCTGAATCCCCTTAAAAACAATAGAACAAAAACCTCCCAAAGTTCAATTTTCTGGGGCCTGTTGGCCATTATTTTCTTGACCCAAAAAGAATCAATAAAAAAAGAAATTTATGTGTTTCATAGGAAGTGAAATAAGACTTAATTGGACCCCTGCCTCCAATAAGTTTAGCAGCCTTTCAACTCATTTAAGAACCATTTAAGCCCCAGAAAATCACCATTTACATTTTTCTAACTTTCCCAGAAAAAAGGGCTTTGTATTGTATAGTTCCAACGGTCCAACCTATGAAATTCAAAACCTCTCCAAGTCAAAACCTCCTTCAGTTGAGTTGTTAGCAGGTCACTTGAAAGTCGAGAGGTTCGACTGTATTGTACTTTATCTCATGAAAAATCGCGTGATTCCTGGACACATCGATTTTTGCCTGGCACTTCCACGAGGACGAACCGGAAAAATATTTTTGGTTTGTGACAAGATGATGCCGAACAAATTCAAATACATTTTTCGAAATGCCCAAGTTTAAGTTAATTCCAGACATCTCAGGTAACCTTGCCTAATCTACCCAGAATTAGCTCAACTTGAACTGAGGAAAACGTCATCGCAAATTTTCTGGAACGAGTGATCGAACCTAACTTGAAATTCAGACTTGCTGTTTTGATCCGTGCACTTTTGTGCAGGTGCTATTTTCTGTAATAAAGCAACTCTTTGCTGTAAAGTACTGAACTCCATATTTCCAGTTTATTTTTTTAGACTTATTTTTCCTGTGCGCACATTCTTTCAATCTAAAAAATATCCTCATGCATTCGGAACGTTGCATTAATTTCATAGCGCAGTCCGCGTAAACCCTGTCGTTGGAACTCTGCCATCATAGACTAATGTGTCACCCATCATGTTTATCAATAACTGAACCATAGCTCATATTAAAAAATAGATGAGCATTTTGAGGCAGGAAAACATACCTTCGCTTGCTGATCGCTCAATGACTGACACGCGACACCGAACTTGTCCTCTGAATTATTCGTCAGCAAGCCGTCGTTGATTACATCTTGTTCGCGAACGAATTCGCGCATTTCCGGTATTTCCCGAAAAAGCACACTATAGTTGCACACGACGCCGAATTCCGGTTTCGACACCGGGTGTTCTGCAAAAAATAAATAAAATCAGATGAATTCCTGAGATCCTCATCCGAAGTCAGGGAAGTCTGGCACAAAAGCAATGCATTCGCATATGCTCGAAATAACATCAAACGCATATCGTACATACGGTACATTTGTAGATGGATAATACTGTACCAGCACTGCTTTTTTCCATCAGATGTCGAGGACTGATCAAAAGAATTCCTGCATCCGGAGTAAATTCAATTGGTGCTGCTGATCTTTCCATCAGATGGAGGAGGTCGAGTGTTATTTTCATCGGGTTACGTGGAAACCCAGTCATTATTACAGATCACAGGGTTTAAATCGGGGTTAACGAACTATTTACCAGCAGGGTTCTAACAAAAGTTCTCGGAGTAGCAATGAAAATTGTTTACAATTGAACTGAAAAAAATTTATTCTTCCGGGAAAACATATTCTTTGGCACACAAAAAGAATCAGCCCGCGCGGTTTGACAATTTTTTTTGCAAAATTCATCCGGATAGAGTTTTGCTCTCCACACAAAAGATGAAGCGCCCTTTTTTATTGTAGCCCAGCTTTCCCCTCAGAATTCTCAAAATCAACGTGGCATTCATGCCAAGGCTTGCCTCCAGGTCATCTAAGGTAATTCCGCCATTTTCATCAACAGCCGCCTTCACAGCCACCAAAGTGGCGGCCAATGTGGCGGCTGTTGATGAAAATGGCGGAATTACCTTGGATAACCTGGAGGCAACCCTTGGCATGTTGAATGCCACGTTTATTTCAAAAATTCTGAGGGGAAACCTGGGTTACAATAAAAAAGGGCGCCTCATCTTTTGAGTTGGAGAGCAAAACTCTATTGGGATGCATTTTGCAAAATTTTTTTTACAAATTGTCAAACCAGGCTGATTTTTGTGTGTGTGCCAAAGAATATGTTTTTCCTGAAGAATAATTTTTTTTTCAGTTCTATTATATGCCATTATCATTGTTACTCCAAGAACTTTTGTTAGAACCCTCGTATAACGTCAAAAAATATTGCGTATAATAGTTCTGTGCTTCGGGGTTGCTTCATTTACATGGAAACAGGGCCAACCATCTTGCTTCTCATTCTTATTGTTAATAAATAAGAAGAACCTTTTATTCAAAGGGTAAAAGTTGACCACGCTACACTCGACATTTAACCAGCATGTGAGAATTTAACTTTACAAAATTTCAGCGCGCAGAAATCCCAGCATCATTTGAGCATGCGACGGTATACAGTACCTTATATTTAGGGCAGTTTGGCATGTGACCTTCAAGCATGATTCGGACTTCTCTGCATAGTACACTTCAGTACTGTGAGTCCAAGTTACTGGACTTTGCTGAAATACTGTATTGATGAGCGGGAAAATGATGATAGATTACCGTATATTTTCTTCATCAGCAATCAATCATGGTGTTCATTCTGCAGGTGAAATTAAATCTGCGATGCTTCGAAGAAAACGCTTTTGAATAATCAAATTGTTGAAGGTGACATTGAAAATTCGCTCCGCGAAGGAGTTGTAGAGTTTATTTTAGTTTAAAACTCGCAAAAATTTCAAAAATTTATAATAACGGTTTCAGTTCAATAAACAGAAGACATTCAAACAAGTTCTGGGTCGGTGCTGGTCATGTTCTAGAAAAACCCTGTCGTTTATTCTGGATTCGCGGACGCATCATGAAGTGAGTGCATCCCAGACAGAAGAGGAAATTGCAACAGTCGAATTTTCTTCCTCGGCTCTAAATTTAGGCTGGTAAAAACCCTGCCCATGGGTAAGCGCACCTTTTCGGGCACAAAATCAGCATTCCTTTATTATGTTGTCGGCGGGTGAAAAAGACGGAGTCATCGCATCAAAAATGCTAAAATATGCAATATTTGAATGATTTAAAAGATGATAAACAATTTGTATGACATGAAACTCATTTGCTGAGAAACAGTAATTTTTTGCACGCAAGCCATGGCGATTGGAAATTCTACAATTTACTGCTGCTGGGATTGATGAGCCCCAGAATTGTAAAAAGAAAAAAGAAACTAACACAACACAAAAAGTAGAATTGATT